TCGACGGATTTCAATTCCGAGTAATTCGCGAGTGACAGTCGAGGAGAGAACGTTTCTTTCGGTTTCAGTTTCGATGTTTTTCTTTTCCCCGTTTTCAATTCGACGATTCGACGTGTAGCAGGCGTGTGAACCGAGTTCGCGGACGAGCCGTCGCCGCGAAGGATACCGTGCGATCACTGTTATTATCGATCCGTTGTATATCGATGCACCGATCGGTCGCGCGAGGATATCGATACGTCGATGGCCGTCAGTCGATCGGCCCGTACATATCGACGCGCCGACGCGTCTAGCCCGGCGACCGATCGATCCGATTGAAAATATCGCGGCAGTAGATTACTTAACCTCTTAAAGAGTAGAACACGAATTCGTCTAGCGCTCTCTCGAACGGACTTCGAACCGACGTTTCTTTCTGTACACACCACCTTTGTTCGAGCAACCCTTTCCGGCTACGAGGCGGGATAGGGGAGGTTTTTCGTTTGACTTTCAGTGTTAGGAGAACGATAAAAAGGGAAAAAAAGGGGGAAAGGGACAAAGAAAAGTCGCGGATGAAATCTAACCTATATATGTGTATCTGTATTTAATTATTCGTCATTTATCAATATTACCGTGTACTTATCGCATGATTATTAATTACTTACTCGTATTATTTATGCAGCTACAGTATAGGGGGAATCCATTCAAATATTTACGTGGAATTTAGATATATCTAATAATATACATTATATTATTGCATTATATTATTATATTATATTACATTGCATTATATTACATTACCATTTATATTGTATTGCATTATATTACATTACGGTACATGTATATGTATATTTCTCACGTGAAACGTTTTCGAGCATCTCGTGACCACCGCGACGGCCATTGTTGTGTGCGACAACCGGCTTATACACGTACACACGCGTATACCGGGCGTGCTTTTTAAGAGGTTAATCGGGGATACCGATTTTAATATGTAGTTCAGAGCAAGAAGCTTCCTCTACATACGCACACGTACGTACACATCCAACACACACGTACACGCACATACACGGGGAAAAAAGGGAGAGAGAGAGAGAGAGAAAGAAAGGAAGAGAGAAAAAGTGATACACAATCGAGACACACACATTTCCATTTATACATCATACGCGTGTCTTCTTGATAGTTTCAAGTTGAACCTCGAATTATTATTGAATTCGCCGTGACCTCGTAGCATCTTGATTCTACACGATTCGCAATAATATCGTCGATCTGGTTCAGCGTTGATAGAACGTCGTAATTCGATGATTAAATTGTCCGTCGTTCGACTTGGCGTTAAAACAAAATACTGGACGATCACGTGACCAGGGCACGTGCTAGCAAAAGGGGACCCAGAACATTTCTAATCGCGATTTTCAGTTGACATTTTGAACGACCGTTAACTCGTTAAGAGAATCGAGAAGAGACGATTGACCGGTTGTTTAAATACTGGTTGTGTCGACGACAGATTTTGATTCAGATTTACTGCGAAGGGACACAGTTCTGCTCGACAGAAAATGGATCGGTGAGAGGCTCGGAACGTGTTTTGTTTTAATCTCAAGTTGGACGTTGGACAGAAATTCGAGGTTAGCTCTAGCTACGAAAAAACCAGTCAGGCGAATCGAGTGAAACGAAAATGAAATAAGAGATGATACATACATACGCATACGTACATATATGTACACACACACATGTACACGCACGAACACGTAACACACGATTCTCTCGTTGTTGATGACACATATAAGTATTTAGGAGGGACAGAATTATTTTCTCGTGGAAACAACGATGGAGTGTTCGGTCCTGTTCATTCCGTCGAGGCATTCCTCGTCGCTACCTCAACCATTTCCGTCGTGAATACCGTGTTCCAATGGGAACGGAGCCGTTTCACGATTCTGGGGCAACGAATCAGGAATGCATCGAGAATTTACACAGATAGTTATCTTTGCTGTACTTTTTCTACGCCGTATACATGAAGGTGCACACACGCCCATGCATATGTGGAGACAACATACACAGAGACACGAAATTCGAGAACCCACACAATCGCGCGCCTAACCTCCAAAATGAAGGAAAGACGGGAAAGGAATATTTACTTAAAATGGAGAAACGCGTGATACGCGGCTACACACGTTTTCATAGATGGTACGTCATCATACGTAGGCACACGTACACTTACATACATACATACATACATACATACATACATACATACATACATACATACATACATACATACATACATACATGCATTACAGACAGATACACGTACACATAAAGAGGAGACCATTCAC